GGGAGGGAGAGAGGAGCTGAGGGAGGAGAGAGGAGCTGTCTCTAGTCTCTTTCCAGTCTCTCTCTAGTCTCTCTCTCTGGTCTTTCTCTGGTCTCTTTCTAGTCTCTCTCTCTGGTCTCTCTCTCGACTCCCTCTCTAGTCTCTCTCTCTGGTCTCTCTCTCGACTCCCTCTCTAGTCTCTCTCTCTGGTCTCTCTCTAGTCTCTCTCTAGTCTCTCGCTCTGGTCTCTCTCTCGACTCCCTCTCTAGTCTCTCTCTCTGGTCTTTCTCTGGTCTCTCTCTAGTCTCTCTCTAGTGTCTCTCTCTGGTCTCTCTCTTGACTTTCTCTCTGGTATCTCTCGAGTCTCTCTCTCTGGTCTCTCTCTCTGGTCTCTCTTTTGTCTCTCTCTCCGGCTCTGTCTATTCTCTCTCTGGTCTCTTTCTAGTCTCCCTCCAGTCCTTCCATAGTTTCTCTCTCTGCATTGGCGGTGAATGCATCATATGATAACTTTCCCCAAATACCAGATTTTTCCTGTCATTCAAATGTCATTGGGCCGTGAGAGGGTTAAATGATAGAAACCAAACTGATTTATAGCAAAGAAGCAGTCATTATTAATACACTGAACGTTTAGGATGTATCTCATGAGTCCCATTTTCGTTTGTTCTAAAGCTAAGTAGCGTTAGCGTTAGCATTAGCATGGCCCTCCTCTCACCTGCTGCTCCCTCCGTTCAAAATGACTCCTGTTTTTCCCGACACCAAACAAACACACTCCAAATGTTGACCTGCTTTAAGAGATCACAGCCACAATATTCTCGCTGAAGGGCGAGACCGTAAACAACTCAACAGCGGCGCTCGCTCGCCCTGCATTATACAATACGCATAAATCTCGCTAACGTCCGCGCGCTAAACTTCACAGCTGTAATATCCCCAAGAAAAAGCACAAAGTCGGCTGAGGCGCTCATAAATTTCACTTTTCTCCCTTAGCGTCTGTATTCACATCTCACAATACTGTGGAGAGAGAGACCACAGAGAGAGACAGACCACAGAGAGAGAGACCACAGAGAGAGAGACCACAGAGAGAGAGAGAGAGAGAGATCACAGAAAGAGGTAGACCACAGAGAGAGAGACCGCCTGGGACCTCAATAGCACAACCTTTTTGAGATTATCCAGAGAGAGAGAGAGAGAGACCTGAGAGAAAGAGAGAGACAATTTTTTGAGAAAGAGACCAGAGAGGGAGAGAGAAAGACTAGTTTGAGAAAGAGAGACCAGAGAGGGAGAGAGAGAGACCAGTTTGAGAAAGAGAGACCAGAGAGGGAGAGAGAGAGACCAGTTTGAGAAAGAGAGACCAGAGAGGGATAGAGAGAAGGAGGAGAGAGAGACCAGAGAGAGAGCGAGAGAGAGCTTATATAACAGATATAAATCTCGCTAACATCTCTGCGTGCTAATCTTCCATATCCTGAATGACGGTGATAAATGTACCTTTTCTTTCTCAGCTTCTGTTCTCACATCTCTCACATACTCTCCCATTGTCTCCCGTGTGCTCTACGACCATACGGACCTCAGAGACCTCAGAGACCTCAGAGGCCTCTTGGGACCTCAACAGCCATTGTCTCTGCTCGGTCATTACTCTTGTGTCCTCTCCCTGAAAAACAACAGCCGCGCATGCTAGCTGCTGCCCGGCCTCCGCCTCAAACAGCCGTTGTTATTGTTTGTGTGGTGAGAACTACCGAGTCAGCAGAGAAACCCTGGTCCTCAACACTTTTCAGCCCCGTCGTGTGGATTCATGGCTGGATCTCGCCGCGGCCGAACGCAAAAATACACTTTTCTCTGCCACGTCCCGGCGCCGCTGCTTGTTTACGAAAAAATATTCATGAGGAAAGAATGGATGAGGAAAAGGCAGAGTCCCGGGAGCTTTCAGCGACTCTGGGAACGACAAGGAAAGTTAAGTTTGGGAATTATGGATGTTTGGTTTTCAATTCATCCGTCTTTAATCCAGACTAAAAATGTGTGTTTATTTAATACAAAACTTTCCAGAATCAGGCAAAACAGAGATTATTCACTCTCTTGTGGAACTTTTTACCGTCATACCGGGGACAGAGAGAGAGGCAGTGGAGAGAGAGAGAGAGAGAGATCAGAGAGAGAGAGAGAGAGAGAGAGAGAGAGAGACCAGAGAGAGAGACCAGAGAGCGAGGCATGACAGAGAGAGAGAGTCCTAAGAGAGAGAGAGACCTAAGAGAGAGAGAGAGAGAGAGAGAGAGGAAGGTCCTGGGAGAGTGACCAGAGAGAGAGAGAGCATTCTGAGAGAGATCAGAGAGCGAAGCATGGCAGAGAGAGAGTCCTAAGAGAGAGAGAGACCTAAGAGAGAGAGCATCCTGAGAGAGATTAGAGAGCGAAGCATGACAGAGAGAGAGTCCTAAGAGAGAGAGAGACCCAAGAGAGAGAGAGAGAGACAGAGAGAGAGAGAAAGGAAGGTCCTGGGAGAGTGACCAGAGAGGGAGAGTGTCCTGAGAGAGAGAGAGAGACCGGAGAGAGACAGAGAGTCCAGAGGGAGATATTCCACCTCCAGACCTTTCTTTGCATCTTCTCCCCACGTCTGTGTAGGTTTCCTCCAGATGCTCCAGGTTCCCATACCACTACAAACATACAATCTGTCCCTGTGCTCCTCAGAGTCCCAGCAGGAGGCCAGAGACTAAACTCTAAAAGCGTGTGAACTTGTAGTAAAGAGAAAGAGAGAGAGAGAGAGAGAGAGAGAGAGAGAGAGAGAGAGAGAGAGGGAGAGCGAAGTGGAAGATTGTCATTAATTTGGCCTCAGCCTCAGGGGGTTCTGGGAAATCAATGCTTCTGATTGCGACTTTACCAGAAAACACAGAAATTGCTTCTCGCTCTCGGCTCCGGTCTCTCTCCACATTTCTCTGGTTCACACTGGACACTGGAGAGAGAGAGAGAGAGAGAGAGAGAGAGCAGAGAAGGCGAGAGAGAGCAGAGAGGGAGGGAGAGAGAGGAGAGAGAGCAGAGAGGGGGAGAGAGAACCCAGAGAGGGAAAGAGAGACCTGAAAGAGAGAGACCAGGGAGAGAGAGAGAGAGGACTGAGAGAGAGAGGCCAGAGAAAAAGAAAGAGAGACAAGAGAGGGAGAGACCTGAGAGAGAGAGACCAGGGAGAGAGAGAGAGCCCTGAGAGAGAGAGATCAGAGAGGGAAAAAAAGACCAGAGAGGAGGAGAGAGACCAGAGGGAGAGAGACCAGAGAGAGAAAGACCAGAGAAAGAGAGAAACCTGTGAGAGAGAGAGACCAGAGAGAGACCGGAGAGGGAGAGACCAGAGAGAGAGAGAGAGAGAGCAGAGAGAGAAGTTGAACCTAGATAATTGTAGCTTACATGTGCCGCATAAATAAACATTAGTTCCCAGTCCAGGCTCCGCCTCCTTGAGGGTCTGGTTGCCGTGGGACTTCTAAATCAACACAAAAACTGCCTCATGTTTTATCAACGTTTCGCTTTCATTCTCTTGTTTTTCTTCTTTTGAATAATGTGATCATCTTTCATTGAGGTCCAGAAGAATCCACTGTTTCACTGAAGGTTGTGGGTTCAGAGCCCAATTTTTGACCCAAATCTGAATCCACCAATGAGAGGCTGTAGACCCAGGACTATGGCTGTAGACCCAGGACTGAGGCTGTAGACCCAGGACTGAGGCTGTAGACCCAGGACTGAGGCTGTAGACCCAGGACTGAGGCTGTAGACCCAGGACTGAGGCTGTAGACCCAGGACTGAGGCTGTAGACCCAGGACTGAGCCTGTAGACCCAGGACTGAGACTGTAGACCCAGGACTGAAGTTGTAGACCCAGGACTGAGGCTGTAGACCCAGGACTGAGGCTCTAGACCCAGGACTGAGGCTGTAGACCCAGGACTGAGGCTCTAGACCCAGGACTTTGTGTTAGTTTGTAAACTTCGCCCTCGGGAGCGTCCCTCTCTCCCCAAAGTTGCGATGGGAGGAAAGTGATAAAAGCGCTCGGGCCTCGCTCACTTCTCTTCTGCTCACGCCTCACTGGGGTGAGCCGAGGCAGCCGCGGAAATTACAGCCAAACATATCGCTCACATTTACATATTTATGCTTCAGTTTGTGTGGTATCGCTCTCCCAGACAGACACACAGAGAGAGACACACACACACACAGAGAGACAGAGACATATACACAAATATACACAGAGAGAGACACACAAAAATATACACACACAGAATTGTACACACACACACACAGAAATTTGCTCAAACACACACAGACAAATATGCACACACATATACAGACACACAGAGAGACACACACACATACACACACACGCACATCCAGCGAGACACACACACAGACACACACACACATATAGAGACACACACACAGACACAAACACACACACACACACACAAACACACAAACACACACACACACACACATACAGCGAGACACACACACAGACACAAACACAAACACACACACACACACACACAAACACATACACACACAAACACACACACACACACACACACATACAGAGACACACACACAGACACAAACACACAAACACACACACACACATACAGAGACACACACACAGACACAAACACACACACACACACACACACAAACACATACAGAGACACACACACAGACACAAACACAAACACACACACACACACACACACACATACAGAGACACACACACAGACACAAACACACACACACACACACACACATACAGAGACACACAAACAGACACAAACACACACACACACACACACATACACACACACACACACACACACACACACAGACACACACACACACACACACACACACACACACACACACACACACACACACACACACACACACACACACACACAGACTCACACACACACACACACACACACATACAGAGACACACACACAGACACAAACACACACACACACACACACAGAGACACACACACAGACACAAACACACACACACACAAACACATACAGAGACACACAC